TGCATTGCGTTTTAATTCAACTTCTGTGTCGTATCTGGGCTAAGAGTAGATGACGGAGGTGGCTTCTAAGACTTCTTCTTGCAATGCATTCCATTTCCAACCCCCATTATCTCCCCGATCCTAAAAAGGGTACGAATATTTCTAAAATATTTGACTTCATTTGCATTTAAATTTTCCAACGGTGACTTCTTGTCCTAATCTCTCGAAATTTTAAGAGCCTGTGAATATGCACCTTTTCTATTCCCCCTCAGTATCTTGTATGTCGTCCTCATATCCCTTCCGATTCTTCTCTAATGTTGTGGGAGTGTGGAACTTGGAGCGGTGTTGATGATGGCGAGAGGGCGGCTTTGGCGAGGACCTGATGGTAGTGAGGTTATCTTGAGGTTATCTTGAGATGATTTCGGGGCTTTAGTGTCCCCGCGGCCCGGTCCTCGACCAGGCCTCCACCCCCAGGAAGCAGCCCGTTACAGCTGACTAACACCCAGGTACCTATTTTACTGCTAGGTAACAGGGGCATAGGGTGAAAGAAACTCTGCCCATTGTTTCTCGCCGGCGCCCGGGATCGAACCCGGGACCACAGGATCACAAGTCCAGCGTGCTGTCCGCTCGGCCGAACCACCACCGAGGTGGTGGTTCCAGTAAAGGTATTGGTGGTGGTGACGAGGGTGGCGCTGTGGGTGGTGATGGCACGGTGGCACCTACGACGGTGCCAACGCCGGGACGCTGAAGACACAGTGCCGGTGACTGATGGCTTTGTAATTACGTTGTGATGGGCGGCGCCTGCTGGCAGCGGCGACGAGCGGTCCGGTTCATCACTGGACCCCAGAAACAGGACTGTAAAACACACTGTCTCACTGTGTGTCGCCTGACGCACCCTCACCACACGGACGGTGTTGACGGTGTTGACGGTGTTGACGGTGTTGACGGTGTTGACGGTGCGGCGGTCAGGACGGGAGGAAGGACGAAGATCAGGATAGAAAGGGAAACGATATGAAAAACAGCCAATATTGGAGACATCGCTATGCCTTATACCATGATAGATCACCCCCTCATATACCTTATACCATGATAGATCCCCCCTCATATACCTTATACCATGATAAATCCCCCCCTATACCTTATACCATGATAAATCCCCCCATATATATCGAGATCGTTCGTATATGCAATGGTAATCCCTACATTCCAGCGTAGCTTCCAAATACTGTGGTAGCCCAAACAAATTACTGTAGTGCCCCACATACCCAGGTGGTCCCCACATACCCAGGTGGTCCCCTACATACCCAGGTGGTCCCCTACATACCCAGGTGGTCCCCTACATACCCAGGTGGTCCCCTACATACCCAGGTGGTCCCCACATACCCAGGTGGTCCCCTACATACCCAGGTGGTCCCCGACACACCCAGGTGGTCCCCGACATACCCAGGTTGTCCCCACATACCCACGTGGTACCCACATACCCAGGTGGTCCCCGACATACCCAGGTGGTTCCCCACATACCCAGGTGGTACCCACATACCCAGGTGGTACCCACATACCCAGGTGGTCCCCCACATACCCAGGTGGTCCCCCACATACCAAGGTAGTCCCCACAATGATTACCCAAAAAGGATTTCAATAAATTTTCTCCAATGCCGGTTAGCCTAGAGCCAGCCGTCCTTGGTGAGTGTCCGGTCTAAGACACCGTCTTTGTAACCCACAAGGCCGCTGCCATCACAGCCAGGCTGCTCTGGTAACTCCAGCAGAAACTTTTAAAGTTCTCTCCTGTCAACTTCAACTCTCGTTTCAGTGATATTTTCTGTATGTTTGAGCATAAGGTTGGATTGGAAGGTACTGTGCTCGCATCACAAGACCTCCTTTCCATTCCATGTAACAAATATGGTTAATTCTTTTGTTAGTTCGGATGGAAATCGAGCGATTAGTTTCCTCACAAACAAGAGAGGTTAATTGGAAGGTTTGGCTTATGTTGGAGGGCGGACACTTAGGGCTAGCCTAACTAAGATTTGCAGGGGGAATATTCTGGGGCACGGGGCAGACATAGGTAGGTCGCCATAGGCCGAAGTTAAATGCTTTAAGAAATATTAGCAATACTAAAGAACTCCTCACACCATTTTCACGGAGGCAAGTGAAGGAATCAAGTGTGAAATATATCGTGTGGTAAACGTGTTAATGTCATAATAATATAATTTCTTAGATTGTTTTAACTTCTTAATAATATAATTTTTGAGAGAAGGGGGGAGAGGGGGATGAATGAGAAGGGGAAGAAGAGGACGAGGGGAGGAAGGATAGGGCGGACTAATGGGATGGAGACAGAAGACTCGAGAGGGAGATATGACGAAGAGTTGGGAGGAGGGGGGATAGGTGGAAAAAAAGAAGAGACCCGGGTACAGCCGGGTATCCCTTCTAAATATCTAAATTAAAATGTCTGTTAAAGGTATTTATAATTCATTGTGTGATTTTTTCCGAAGCTATTGGTCCTCTTTTCCGGCCAGAATGGTGCCCCCTTTCCCTTATGTATATATATATATATATATATATATATATATATATATATATATATATATATATATATATATATATATATATATATATATATAGCCAAAGAGATTGAAAATAAAATCTCGATTCAAGGTTGAGAGGCGCTTCTCAAGAGTTGAAACGCAAACCTCGTATGCAAATATATGTGATTACACACGTTCACACATGCACATATCTTTCCACTCTTGACCCCTCACTCAGGGTACACACGGGGAAGGGGCCAGCCAGCACAGTCATTACTTAAACCAACACGGGAACCCAAGCCATCATCGCCTCGACCTGTGTTGCTGTGGGTGTGCTGTGTTGTACTGGGTGTGGTGTGTTGTACTGGGTGTGGTGTGTTGTACTGGGTGTGGTGTGTTGTACTGGGTGTGCTGTGTTGTACTGGGTGTGGTGTGTTGTACTGGGTGTGCTGTGTTGCAGTGGATGTGCTGTGTTATAGGTGCAACATGTACCTACAACAGAGGGTAAAACTGCCACCCATTAGGGTGGGTGTGGAGCAAGACTGTGTGATTCACCATTGATGTAAAAGGCCGAATACAAATACTGTTGTGAGCCTTTTGTTGAATCACTTGTGATATAAAAAGATTATTGATATGTAAATATATTTGTGTACATGCATGCATATATATGTACATGTGTATGTAATACTAACAATTGTGTAACTAGGTTCACAAGACGGTCACTTGCGTAGCTAAACCAACTATGGGATTCAGTTCCCGAACCCATTATGTGCTTCTGTAACCCATTCCACCACCGCCCACGGAATGGGTATGGGGTGCATAATAAAGAAATGAAATGAAAAGGGCATTCTCCTTCAACGGCCCGGCTTGATAGGGACTCATGGGCGCACCAGATAATTTTGTAGAAGGTTCGCCACCAGTGCCCTATAGCCTTTATCTTATCAACTATCGTCATCACCTGGAACGGTATGAACGATAGGGATTGTGATAGGGAAGTGTGTGTATTTTTACCGAGGTCTATTTACCTTGTTGTGTTGGGCAAATTCGAGTAACAACTCCTACACACAGCTCCTCTATGGGTTCATCTCTTCCAAGTCTATTCTTCCTTGTCCATATTGGTATTGTGTCAACAAACTTGTGTCTGGGTCTGTTGTTATTTGTGTGGAGGGTTGTACATGGAGGGGTAATAGCCACTCTTCCTCCACCGTGTGTGGCAGTCACAGCAACCAGCTGCCTCCAGTTCATGCCTCCATAACTTCATGCTGCCAGTTAACATTCCTCCTACTGAGCATAGCTACTCCTCTGCCTTTTTTTCTACGGGGCATTATCATTAACAAAATATGTGGCGCTTGTGGTCATTCTAGTTAGCATTGTTTCAATTCGTTTGATCGGTTCGTATTCTGTCTCCAGCCTCCTGTCTCCTACCTCTAAGCTTTCGTCTCCTACCTCTAAGCCTGCTCTACCCTTTCGTCTTCTCCTTTGGTAATTATCCTCTTGCAGGTGTCGGAAATGCCACTGACCGGCTGAGAATTGCTGGAATGTTGGCGCAACGCCTTGGAGGATGGAGGTGCTGGTGGTGGAGGTGGGGATGGTGGTGGAGGTAGTGAATGTTGGTGCTGGTGGTGGAGGTCTTCTACTGACCTCTGACAGGCGGTGCCTCTATTTCCACCACAACTTCCATTAACACCGCCGCCACCTGCACCACGGCCAACAACCACTGCCTCCATCACCACCATTTTCACTACAACCACCATCACCATCATTACCACCGCCACGGCCCCACCACCACACCCGCGACCACCACCACCACCAAACCCCACGAAATGCTGTTGGTTCAGGATTGAACGCTCGTCACATGCTATATCTTATCTCTTTGATGTTCTCGACCAAAAGTAAACGACATGAAGAGCAAGCTCTTCCTCGCCCCATCCCCCCAAACCCCTCTATCTCCCTCTCTCTCTCTATGCCTCACTTTCTATCTCTCCTTTAAAACATCAAGTATTGTACAGCTGGAAAGTTATCAAAACGATGGTACTCCCAGCGCGAGGCTGTCGCTGACTGGACTTCCTGTTCTGTGTCTTCCTTTGCATGGGGACAGCTGGGGAACCATTGGTAGTGGACTAATAGACTATCAGTCTCTGGGACAGTAATTATGGCCACCACAGCAGCTTACTGACGAACCAGCAAGTATTCACTACCTCTAAACATAGTACAGGAGTGAAGTAAACTCTTTAGTCCTACAGCAAGAAGTGAGGTTTACACCTATAGGCGTGTATATACCCCTTGGGGTAAACCTTGAGAACATTGGCCCTCACATATAAATATTGCTATCGACATCTCGGTGTTCGTACAGTCAGGTTCGTTCCCGAATCACAATCGAGAATTTTGGGTTCGAATCCCCGACGGGGCTGAAATGGTTGGACGCGTTTCCTATCACTTAATACGCCGGTTCACCTAGAAGTAGAGAGGTACCCAGGACTCAGTCACCTTGCTGTGGGGATGGGTCGTGGGGAAGGTCAGTGGTTCGACCTTCGGGGAGACCTCCGTAAGAGCGTAACCTGTATATATATATATATACACTGGCTGCCTGTCCCACGACACAAGCAATTATTATTATAATATAATGATTTCAGCTAAACCAAACACTGTGTCATTGACAGGTTCACTGTGTCAATAACATGTTCACTGTGTCATTGACAGGTTCACTGTGTCAATGACACGTTCACTGTGTCAATGACAGGTTCACTGTGTCAATGACAGGTTCACTGTGTCAATGACAGGTTCACTGTGTCAATGACAGGTTCACTGTGTCATTGACAGGTTCACTGTGTCAATGACATGTTCACTGTGTCATTGACAGGTTCACTGTGTCAATGACAGGTTCACTGTGTCAATGACAGGTTCGCCAGAACATGTCACATTCTGGTTTCACACCCATGGAAACACCCAAACTATTCTCTTTCATATAGATTGTAAACATTTAAAAACACTCATTCCCAATGAAACAATACACTAAGTAGTTCATAAATAGAAAAAATAATGAATTGTGGAAATATATATGTACTATACGTTTGATTTACACAAATATATCACTAAATGAATGATAAAAATATTTTACAAACCCGCGAGCCATTCACCAAAGCCATCATGCACAACCTGAACTTTTTGCGCAATATTTTTCAGCTGATTTCATTTTTGTCTGTACGCCTTCAGGCTCTCCCAGCTGCTTCATACAATTAAATTGCCTCTATATTCTTCTATTTATTTCCTTATTGTATGAAAATGGTTATAATATTCATTTATTTCACGATTGAAGCACGTAGATATGAAAAAGTATAAAGCTCTGTCAAGGGCAGGATGTTATCTTTTTCGTCGTGTTTAATTAAATCCAGTTTTGTCTCACATGGGAGGTAATTCGTGACGAAATGAGTTCTGAAATTCTTTGATAGAGTTTAACTCTAGATTTTTGTTTACGGAAGTGAGATGAGAGAATTGGATTTGTTTCATTTTTATGTTAATTTTGTGTACAATTTACTTTTACTTTAAATTTAATTTACGTAAATTTACCAATTTACTTTGGACAATTTACATACGGCGACAAGAATGGCTTACAAGACCACTATACTGTTACTCTCAGGCAGTAATTCGAATAGCAGATTCCCACAACCTTACTTTCTGTTTATTGTCTTTGTTCCATCTTTGTTCACTATAGGATACGCATAGGACGCCATACATAGGACGCTATACATAGGACGCCATACATAGGACGCCATACATAGGACGCCATACATAGGACGTCATACATAGGACGCCATACATAAGACGCCATACCAGGATGCAATACACAGGACGTTATACATAAGACGCCATACCAGGATTCCATACCTAGGACGCCATAAATGAAATGGGAAAAACTAGGGCAGTTTTGCTTATAAAATAATCTCAACCATATAAGTTATAAACATATTCTCGAAGAACTGAAACTGAGTTAACATTTGTGTACGAGGATCAATTGACAGTCTACAGCGAAAGTGTTGGTGGGAGGGAAGGAAGAGGGAAGGAAGAGGGAACGGGGGGAGGGAGGTAGAGAAGTGGAAGATAGGAGGGAAGCAAGATGGCCAGTCAGGGACTAATATTCGACGAGCGAACAAATTCCCCATGAGAACTGCTGTATTGACATCTGACTAAGAAAGTGTGTGTTCGCACTCAGTTTCACGCCGCACTCAGAATAATATCACCATGCAGCAGCCTCCAGCGTGAGCGCTGCTACTGCCCCGCGGGTGATGCTTCTCTAGACTTTGTTTCATGTACTGAGGGTAATAGATATGTGAAGGGAAGTGAAGGAATAGAGGCCTCTCAGATTGTCTTCCTGGCATTGTGTTGCCTATAGAAACATATTGACAAGTCCGACAATACCTGCCCAATATAGGAGATTTCTGCTCACATTCTCTCTCTCTCTCTCTCTCTCTCTCTCTCTCTCTCTCTCTCTCTCTCTCTCTCTCTCTCTCTCTCTCTCTCTCTCTCTCTCTCTCTCTCTCTCTCACCAGCTCCATATACTTAAAATATTAAAAATAAAACGTAACATTATCAACAACAACAACAAAATGTATTTATATACACGAAACCCAACGACAAAATCCACCTCAATAAGCAAGCAAGATTACTCATAGGATAGTGTACACCCAAGACAGTGTACATCCAGGATAGTGCACACCCAAGACAGTTTAAACGCAGCACAGTGTACATCCAACACACTGTACACCCAGGAAAGTGTGATTAAGGGACTCCTCGAATTTTGTAAACCCTTCAAACTGCAACTAATATACCATGCTTTCATGATGGTAGACATGCAATAATCTGATATTTAATCAGCGTTCAATAATTGAGGTAGATTGACAAGGATGCTGCAGCAAGATCAATCAGGAAAATATGCATATCTGCGAAGGCTCACTCATTGAAGGAATATACATAATTATGACATGTTTTGGCAAAAGCTTAGCTGATGAAACATTCAGCAGCTTTAGCTATTGACACAATTGATAATGACTGAATTATAAGATAAAATGGTATTCAGTGAATTGTAATACTGTTTTTGTTATCCATGTGAGGGCAAGACCCGCTGTTACTACATGTAACTGAGCAGAGAGAGTATAATTCTGGCTAGCAACAGAGAAAGCAATTCTTGTCTGCAACAAAGTGCAATTCTTGCTTGCAACAGATAGTACCTGGATTATACCTGGATGGGGTTATGGGAGTTCTTCTGCTCCCAAAACCCGCCCTGGAGCCAGGCTTGACTTGTGAGAGACATATGTATAACAATGTAAATGATGAGAAACATGTTAAAATATATTTTTGTTTCTTCCGCTCCAGATGTACCAACTCAACCTCCAGTACTGACGCTCAATCGACTCCAGTGGTCGCCCGGGGAGGTGCTGGAGGCCAACTGCACCTCTCCCCTCGCCAGACCTCCCTCCCAACTAGACTGGTACATCAACGGTGACAAGGTGAGTTCCCTCTTCCTCCTCTTGGGACATTAACTGTGACAAGGTGATCCCCCTCTCTTCCTGGAGCGCCAACTAGGTAAGTTCGCTCCTCCTGCTCCTCCTGGGACATCAACTTATTTCTTTTCCTTTAACAAGGTGTTCCCCTTCTTCTTGGGACATCACCGGTGACAGAGTTCCCCTCCTGGGAAACCAACGATGTCAGGGTGAGTCCCCTTCTCCTCTCCTCTCGTCCCCCGAATCAAGGAAAAGGGGAGAATGAACCCAAGAAGGAATCAGGGTTAGAATAGTAGGATATCAGACAGGAAATCAGAACCCCACAGTGAATTATGCAAGAATATAGTTGTACCTCAAATAGGATTAATAAAGGAAGAAGAAAAATGTCATAAGGAAGAAAGTGAATGGGTAAATTGTACGGGAACTGAGACAAGGGAGGAGAAAGAATCACAGAAGAGACAGGAGAAGAGATAAGTACAATACAGAGATACAAAGAGAATATAAGGGCCTAAGAGAAATGGAGGATCTCATAGGAATAAAAAGAGAATTGGAGAGGGAAAGATATTCTCAGATGGAAAGGATTTCAAAGGGGAAGAATATCCTCTGAGGGAAAGGTTTCAAAGGCAATGACAGGAACGAATGAGAATTAAGCAAACATGAAAAGAAAGGGATTTGGGGGAAGTAACACCCCCCAAGGGTAAAGGAGAAAGGAAGCAGAAAGAATACTTTAAAGGTAGAGGGAGGGATTGCTGCACCACAGAGGGCGAAACAGCTGCAGCAGAACACTTCAAAGATAGAGGTAAGGAGGACTAGAAGGACATCGCAAATGAGAAGGATTAAAAGAACAGCTTATCATTCTCCTTGCCCCTATTATCACTGACTAAAAATAGTGATTGATTTACTGTTGAAGTATCCTGCCTCTCAGCACTGTTGGTTCAGGAAGGCTAGCAGGCTGATTGATGAAGATTAAGCCATCCAAGAGGTGACACGGGCAGGAATAGCCCGTATATATATATATATATATATATATATATATATATATATATATATATATATATATATATATATATAGGAGATCCTCCTGCGGAGGATCTATATATACATTGAGGAGATCCTCGACAAGAAAATCGCAGACCTTAGGAGGATGGAAGACAGAATAGGTGACATCGATGCCCACGATGCTTTTTATCTCCTCACCAAATGCCTATCCCTTCCGAGGCTAACCTACTTTCTGAGGTGCGCCCCATCTTACAACAACCCAAAGCTTGACGAGTATGACCTCCTACTGAAGACCATGCTGGAAAAAGTTGTTAACCTCTCTCTCAACGAATGCCAGTGGAAACAAGCCACTCTTCCTGTCAGGCTCGGTGGCTTGGGTGTCCGCACCGCCACCCAAATTGCAGTCCCAGCCTTCCTGTCTTCCTCCTCAGCATCAGATGACCTGGTTAAGGAAATTCTACCTGACACCCTGAGTGATGTAGCGGGGATACAGGACCCCCACTACACGGAATGTGACACGAAATGGGGTGCCATGACAGACCCAGCACTCAGACCAGCCATGCCGAAAGCCAAGAAACAATCCAGTTGGGACAGCCCCATTGCAGACAAAGAAGCCACAGCTTTGCTGGAGGCAGCAACAACCCCCAGTGATCGTGCACGCCTCACAGCTGTGCAGGCTCCCCATGCAGGGGACTTCCTTCTGGCAGTCCCTATGTCTGCGACAGGCACACGTCTTGATCCGCAGGAGCTCCGTATTGCAGTCGCTCTCCGCCTTGCTGCCCCTATCCACACTGTTCACAGGTGTATTTGCGGCGAGGCAGATGCTGACGAATATGGATTGCATGGCCTGCACTGTGGAAAATCGGGTGGTTGGCACACTAGACACGACGAAGTCAACGACATCATTAAAAGAAGCCTTGCCTCTGCTCAGTGTCCAGCGGAGAGAGAGCCCCGCAACCTACTGAACCGTGACTCTGTTAGCTTTGCCGGCCGACCAGACGGAATCACACTGCGTCCGTGGAAGGGTGGCAGGCAGTTAGCATGGGACTATACTTGCGTATCCACCCTGGCAACGACATACATCACCCTCTCTGCCGGCACGGCAGGAGCCGCAGCGACACACAGAGAAAAACAAAAGTCAGTCAAGTACAGGCAATTAGATCAAAGGTACAATTTCGTTCCAATAGGGTCTGAGACCCTAGGCCCATGGGGTGAGAGTGCAAGAAGGTTTCTTAAGGATCTTGGTTCCAAGCTCATTGACACCACAAGAGACCCTAGAGCAGCAAGTTTTCTCTTTCAGCGCCTCAGTGTCGCGATCCAGAGGGGAAATGCCCGCTGCATCCTCGGTTCCTGCCCGGCGTCGGAGGAGTTCGAGGAAATCTACAGCCTCTAGGAAGCGAACTTTTTCTTGTGTCCTCTTAATGTTCATTTTTTGTATAAAATCAGATATGTAACTGTATAACCTTGCATAATAAAGTGTACATCATAATAAAAAAAAAAGGGGGTGGTAGGAGAAGTGAACACTCTTTCGTATTCAGAGTTAAATGTCAAGTTTTTCCCTGAGTGCTCTGTGTTCCCTTCTCTGAGGCTGTGGGTCCCTATAATTACACCAGTGGTGGTACCCCCCTTTATATATATATATATATATATATATATATATATATATATATATATATATATATACGAGCTATTCCCGTATAACTAGTAAGCAGGGAATAAACAGCAGGAGCTTACTTCCCCGTATTCACTGTTCACTGTAAGCACTGTTAGCTAGGCACTGCTGGTAGCATCTGGCCTCCCACCACAGCTTGTAATACCTTGTCTCAAATCACTGTTTTGATGAATCCCGTTTCGCAATATTTTGTTCCTGTAGTAGTGTTCAAGAGTAGTGTTGGTGGCACCGCGTCTACCCTGCTTGAACAGATAACGACATAACTACCCAACCGGTAATCGCGCCAAGCAGTCGGTTCTCATAAGGCAATTAGAGCAGGACTGTGAGGCGAGGTGCGCGTGCCACCGCCTTCTGAACGACTGAACCAATTGGATGATTACTGTGTATTTAGCAAAGCACACAACACTATTCCGCGAGAGGTGAAGCGAGGGTTCGAATCCTCGTCACGGCCATTGTGGATTTGTTCATTTGAAGCGAGGGTAATTCACTGCTGCCCGCTGGAAAGAATGAGAGGATTAGGGAAATGCAGATTAGAAGGATTAGGAACAGGGCTGTCTAGGGGACACTTCGCTGTACCGAATCAAAGGATGTCAGGGTGAGTTTATATATATATATATATATATATATATATATATATATATATATATATATATATATATATATATATATATATATATATATATATATGTCGTACATAGTAGCCAGAATGCACTTCTCGGCCTACTATGCGAGGCCCAATTTGCCTAATAAGCCAAGTTTTCCTGAATTATTATATTTTCTCTAATTTTTTTCTAATGAAATGATAAAGCTACCCATTTCATTACGTATGAGTTCAATTTTTTTTTATTGGAGTTAAAATTAACGTAGATATATGACCGAACCTAACCAACCCTACCTAACCTAACCTAACCTTATAGGTTAGGTTAGGTTAGGTAGCCGAAAAAGTTAGGTTAGGTTAGGTTAGGTAGGTTAGGTAGTCGAAAAACAATTAATTTATGAAAACTTGGCTTATTAGGCAAATCGGGCCTTGCATAGTAGGCTCAGAAGTGAGTTCTGGCTACTAGGTACGACATATATATATATATATTGTGACAATAATCTCCTTCAAGAGATTGAGCCTGCTCTTCCCTTCATAATTACGTCGTCACAATTATATAAAAGACTATGGAAGAAATGTCAAACAACGACAACAACACCAGCACCAGCAAGGCTTGCCAGGGTGAGCAGAAACGTATGCATCCAGCCACCTGTTCGAACTCCAACCACCAAACTACCCGTTGATCGCTACGGCTCCGCTGATTGGTCGCCGGTCTGGCTGCACCTGCACTCGCCCCCCAATACTACCTGATGTCTGGGGTCGCCCCAACATCAGTCCTCAGAATGTTCCGTGCTTTCGTAGCCAGCACTCCTCCCAGCTAGACGTTAGCGTGTACTGAGAGAGGTGGTGGCTTTAAGCCAATATTCCAGCACCTCCCACTTAACTTTTGTGTTGCACTTCTTATTATTTTGCCTTAACGTAACTTTCATTGTGTCATTTAAGTATTCTTATTATTTTGATTCATTGATTTTATTATACATATTTGTTTGTGCATTATTTTCATGTTTTGATTTATTTAACGTAATTAAAATTTCATTGTTAAAGTTTTACTTGTGTTTTGTGTGTCTTCTCCTTACCTTACCACAGACGAAGTTCCAGTTTTTCTATTTTTTTTTATAACTATGTGACGAGACCATACCCCTAGCCTTAAACAGCCGAACACCAACGCGTTACCGTCACAAGTTATATGGGGGCCTGTCCGGGAGCTTGACTCAGGTACTGGTGCTAAGTGGTAATTTATGGTAAGCGTATTTAACTTTGTTAACGTAGCTTTACTATTTTTTCATTCAATTTCATTTTTTATAAGGTGCGGTGTATTGTGCATTACGAGAGTAACATATAGTGAAGGTGAGACAACTTTGGATTACGTGGTGACTGTAGGCCTCAGTCATACTCTTAATTGGTCATCTCTCCCTCCTTGTTATTACTCGTATTTACCATCTATGTCCCTTGAATATTTCTCATTCTGACAGATCATCATATTGGTACCCTGGTACTGTGGTCTGCCCCGGGTCAAGAGTACCCAATCTTCTGCAATCTGACTGTAGGAGGACAAAGAGGGCCATAGTTCCTCTAGCTCGAACTTTAGTTGCTGAATTGGGACCTCAGCAGCAGTTCTCGTCACCAGTTGACACCTCGCACCCCTACACGTCAGTCAGAGATGATGATACATACAACGGTAGGGAATTAGCTTATTTTTTCAGAGCACAAAAGTTCGCTAATTCTGTAAGTATCATA